TCTGGGGGCGGGGGGGGGGGCGGTCGAAGGGATGGCAGTGACCTCGGTCAAGGTTAAGCAACCGGGAGAGATTTTGAAGTTGGTGGGGACTTTTTTTTCACGCTGCCAATGTTGGTGTTGAGATTAGCAGCGGGTAAGTTCACATCGAGGTGATTGATGGAGCCAGATGATTGCGTCAGGAGCAGCGGAGTGGTGAATCATCGCGGCTGTGATGCCTCCTCCTCCTCCTCCCTATCTGTGAATGAGGCACCGAGTCGATGTCACGAGTTGCACGGCCTCTGTTCTGGGCGGTGTGACCACAGTCTGGGTGGTGTGACCACAGTCTGGGTGGTGTGGCCACAGTCTGGGTGGTGTGACCACAGTCTGGGTGGTGTGACCACAGTGTGGGTGGTGTGACTACAGTCTGGGTGGTGTGACCACAGTCTGGGTGGTGTGACCACAGGCTGGGTGGTGTGACCACAGTCTGGGTGGTGTGACTACAGGCTGGGTGGTGTGACCACAGTCTGGGTGGTGTGACCACAGGCTGAGTGCTGTGACCACAGTCTGGGTGGTGTGACCACAGTGTGGGTGGTGTGACTACAGTCTGGGTGGGGTGACCACAGTCTGGGTGGTGTGACCACAGGCTGGGTGGTGTGACCACAGTCTGGGTGGTGTGACTACAGGCTGGGTGGTGTGACTACAAGCTGGGTGGTGTGACCACAGTCTGGGTGGTGTGACCACAGTCTGGGTGGTGTGACCACAGTCTGGGTGGTGTGACCACAGGCTGGGTGGTGTGACCACATTCTGGGTGGTGTGACCACAGGCTGGGTGGTGTGACCACAGGCTGGGTGGTGTGACCACAGTCTGGGTGGTGTGACCACAGTCTGGGTGGTGTGACCACAGGCTGGGTGGTGTGACCACAGGCTGGGTGGTGTGACCACAGGCTGGGTGGTGTGACCAGTCTGGGTGGTGTGACTACAGGCTGGGTGGTGTGACCAGTCTGGGTGGTGTGACCAGTCTCCGCACGCTGCCCCGTAGCGAGAGTTTGTAATTTCCCTGCCGTGCAGGGACCAGAGCAGTCAGTCGGCCAGCCGGCCTCTCTCCCTCTGCTCGTCCCGAGGTGACTTACGTGGGGTTGTTGGTCACCAGCGGCGTGAGCATCAGACTGAACACCAGCGCCGCGAGGTTCACGAGCGTCTCCTGCGTAAGAGAGAGCGCAAGCGCAGCACTGTCGGGCACGTCGATCAGCCCTCCTGCCGAGACTCGGCACTCGTGGACCACAAGGAAAAGAACGTTCGCTCGGAGGATCGATATTTATATTTTGACTTTATTCACTTATTGGGATAAATTTCAAGAGTTTCGGCCTCGGTCGAACTGTCAGCGACTAAGTCCGTCGTCGCGGGGGCGCGGTTGATCAATGTCGCTGGGAGATTACAACCGGGCATCTTTGGGTGTTGGCCGCACCTCCGATTGGCGCGGTCGGCTACGTACGGTGCGAAAGATATTCGGCAAGCACACGTACGCTAGATATCCATTGTAATTTACGTGACCACATTAACCCCCCACAGCTCGCGCACCTGATTGTCTGACAGTGACGACATCACACTTGCATCACATCAGATCGAACACGGGAGCAATTCTCCACAGATGTGGCTTTTGCCTGATGAGGCTGGTTGTTGTTGTAATTACCGTACTCAAATTGTAAACGTTGTTGTTGGGGTTCGCTCTCCAACACACAGCGTGCGTGTGCCGAACTAGTAACGAATTGGTACGTTTTGTTTACGTGACAAACCTGACCGATTGGCTGGTGGCGGGTTTAATGACGCGTTTATATTTACGCGATCGAACACAAAAAACACCTCTCTATTTTGGATAGCCGTGGCTGGGAACGGAAACCCAGGACGCTGGGTTCGTTATCGCGCTGCGCTAAGTTGGGCGCGTGGCCACACACACAGGCACACACAGCAGACACACACACAGACACACACACAGCAGACACACACACAGCAGGCACACACACAGACACACACAGGCACACACAGCAGGCACACACAGCAGGCGCACACACAGCAGACACACACAGCAGGCGCACACACAGCAGACACACAAAGCAGGCGCACACACAGCAGACACACACAGCAGGCGCACACACACATGCACACACAGCAGACACACACAGACACACACAGACACACACAGGCACACACAGCAGACACACACACAAAGACACACACACAAAGACACACAGACACACAGACACACACACAGACACACACACAGGCACACACAGACACACACACAGGCACACACAGACACACACACAGGCACACACAGACACACACAGACATACACACAGGCACACACAGACACACACACAGGCACACACACAGACACACACAGCAGGCACATACACAGCAGACACACACAGCAGGCACACACACACAGCAGGCACACACACAGACACACACAGGTACACACAGGCACACACAGCAGACACACACACAAAGACACACACAGACACACACACACACAGACACACACAGACACACACAGGCACACACAGACACACACAGACACACACACAGGCACACACACAGGCACACACAGGCACACACAAACACACACACACAGGCACACACACAGGCACACACAGACACACACACAGGCACACACACAGGCACACACAGACACACACAGCAGGCACACACACAGCAGGCACACACACAGACACACACAGGCACACACAGGCACACACAGCAGACACACACACAAAGACACACACAGACACACACAGACACACACAGGCACACACAGACACACACAGACACACACACAGGCATACACACACAGGCACACACAAACACACACACACAGGCACACACACAGGCACACACAGGCACACACACAGGCACACACACACACACAGGCACACACACAGGCATACACAGACACACACACAGGCACACACAGGCACACACACAGACACACACACAGGCACACACAGACACACACACAGACAAAGACACACAGCCCCGTGGAGGGCGCTGGTCACCTGACTGCCGTCCTTCGCCGACACGTCAGCCATGTTGTCGCGCCGAGCTTGGTGCACGGTGAGAGCCGCCCTGGTCGCTCCTCCCGCAACGCCCACCACGGACTGGGGGCATCCGGCACGACGCACACGTGGGTTCACGACACGCGGGTTCACGACACACACACGGGTTCACGACACACACACGGGTTCACGACGCACACGCGGGTTCACGACACACACACGGGTTCACGGCACACACACGGGTTCACGACACACACACGGGTTCACGACGCACACGCGGGTTCACGACACACACACGGGTTCACGACACACACGCGGGTTCACGGCCCGCGGGTTCACGACACACACGCGGGTTCACGACACACACGCGGGTTCACGACGCACACGCGGGTTCACGACACACACACGGGTTCACGACACACACACGGGTTCACGACGCACACACGGGTTCACGACACACACGCGGGTTCACGGCCCGCGGGTTCACGACACACACACGCGGTTCACGACACACACGCGGGTTCACGACACACACGCGGGTTCACGGCCCGCGGGTTCACGACACACACGCGGGTTCACGACACACACACGGGTTCACGACACACACACGGGTTCACGACACACACACGGGTTCACGACACGCGGGTTCATGACGCGCGGGTTCACGACACACACGCGGGTTCACGACACACACACGGGTTCACGACACACACGCGGGTTCACGACACACACACGGGTTCACGACACGCGGGTTCATGACGCGTGGGTTCACGACACACACGCGGGTTCACGACACACACACGGGTTCACGACACACACACGGGTTCACGACACACACGCGGGTTCACGACGCACACGCGGGTTCACGACACACACACGGGTTCACGACACACAACACGGGTTCACGACACACACACGGGTTCACGACACACAACGGGTTCACGACACACACGCGGGTTCACGACACACACGCGGGTTCATGACGCACACACGGGTTCACGACGCACACGGGTTCACCACACACACGGGTTCACGACACACACACGGGTTCACCACACACACGGGTTCACGACACACACGCGGGTTCACGACGCACACGCGGGTTCACGACACACACGTGGGTTCACGACGCACACACGGGTTCACGACACACACGCGGGTTCACGACGCACACACGGGTTCACCACACACACACGGGTTCACGACGCACACACGGGTTCACGACACACACGCGGGTTCACGACACACACACGGGTTCACCACACACACGGGTTCACGACGCACACACGGGTTCACGACACACACGCGGGTTCACGACACACACACGGGTTCACCACACACACGGGTTCACGACGCACACACGGGTTCACGACACACACGCGGGTTCACGACACACACACGGGTTCACGACACACACACGGGTTCACGACACACACGCGGGTTCACGACGCGCCGTCACGGTGGGGGTCACGCTACCGGGGGTCCGCGAGCGTTGCAGGTGGTGGTGGTAATCGATCGCGAGGGATGGGGTCTAAAATAAACCAAATTATATTTTACCGGGTGAGGCCCACCGAGCTAGGCGGCTCTTTTTCAGAAGCGACTTGGCTGCCACAAACGATAGCTCAACTTAGCGGCTGATTGTGTGGAGATTTATAGCAGCCGAATATTCTAAACGCGTGTTGTCGTTCATTCTAAACGTGGAGGGAAAAACTGGAGGACTCGGAGAAAAATCCACGTGACCATGGAGAGAGAGAGAAACACGCAAACTCTGAATTTACAGCAGGAGTCAGGATTGAATCCACGACCTCCTGCACACCAGGCGATGTAGTTAACATCTGACCACTGTCACGCTCAACATACGTCGCTCTCATTGGCTGCGCGGACGGTGGGGGCGGGTACATTTCCTCGGCCATTTAGATTTTGTATTTCATTTTTTTAATTGTAAAAATGTTCTCGCGGACAAAGAGCGCTATAAACGAATCAGCGCTCTACGGGCTCGCGCTAAAAGCGAGCTCTGCCTGCACTGCCATCCTCTCTTTTACATTTTTCAAAGCGGCGTCGGAGTGAATCGATGGCACTTTAAGTAAAATTACGTTCCCCCAATTGGTTGGAGCCGTACTATAGAAGCAACGTAAACAGACGGCTGCCTGGAGCGCCTTACGCCGATAACACCCCCCTCCCCCCCTCCCAGCCGGCCACGCAGCGTTCCCGAAGACGCGGAGCGAGAAATGAATTCGTGGCGACGAGGCCAGCAGCGGGGTCGGCGACGTACGCACGTCGCTCAACCTCACCTTGAGCACGCCGGAGACGCACACGACGAGCGTGAAGAGAGGCGGGAAGCCGGGGGCCAGGATCTCCAGGAATATCGCGACGTCATTGAGCACGTCGGCAAACAACCTTGAGCGTAGACAACGACGACGATGAGAGACGTGACGTAATTAGTACACGCCTAATTGTGACGGCAATCAAGGGGGGGGGAGGGGATTAATCCGAAAACTCAAACGCCTTCGTCAATGACTCCGTGTGTGCCGCCTTAAAATATATATTTTTTTAAAAATTTCATATTTAGAAAAAAATTCCCGACGTTTCTGGGGCAATGTCCCGAGAGGGCAGCGGGGGGGCGATAAGAGTCGGAGACTTGTTCATGCCACGCAGCCCGAGGAGACGTTACATTGTCAAAGATGTTTTCTGATGGCCAGTTCTATTCCTTGTTGTTTAAATAGGCGTACGGACAGTGACACTATCAGTAGCTGTTGAGTATTATAAAGAAAACCCTTTAAAAAAAAATCACGAATACATATTGCATGAATAAACAATCCAGGGCGAGGAGATTGCCATCGCTAGGTCGCGTGTGCTGGACGGAGGAGGACCGGGTATAAGCCACTTGGAGGTTGGGACTAGAACGTGGCAGGAGAGCGCTGGAGATGACACCAGAAAGAGGAGGGAAGTTGCGGTGGGTGGGACCTACCATCAGCCTGCGCTCCTAGAACGCGGGAGTTGTTGCGTTTCTGAAGAACACACCGCGTTGTGGAAAAATGGCGTTATAATAAATACGAGAGGGTAAAGCGCAGCCCGCCATGACACGTGAGGTGCCGTACGCAGGCCGAACAAAGATCGAGGCGTGTGGTGGGTGGCATCTAGGTGCATCCAGCAGCATCCCAACGCCTTGTGCGATGACGCTACGCCGAGGCCGCCGATTCCCACCCAGGCTGCGACGTACTTCCGTACGAACGTGTCATATCCAATTCGTATCCGCGTTATTAAAAAAAAATGTGTTCCCTGATGCATTCATCATCGCGTTACATCCCATTCGAGTTGTGAAACAACACGCGGCCATTAGAGGAGAACAGACTGCATCTGTGTTGGACTTCTGTCGCACCGTTACGTAGCCAACTGTGCTAATCGGATGAAGAGGAGGAGGTCCCTGAGGCGGGCGTTGGAGTGGCACACATGGGGGTTGGTGAGAAGAGCTGAAGTCACGTGGTGGTGGTGGTGGTGGTGATGATGAGGCTTTGTGAGCGAACCTTGGAGGTGGGACGTCGACTGACTTTAGCCGTGATGATAACTTCACCGTGACCTTTGAACGCGACGGGACATTCACAGCGGCGTGTTTTCTACAGAGTAGACGGCTGCCGTACTTGCTAGCACCGACATAAACAAAACTATTTCTTGTTAAACCAGGCGAGGCCCCACTGAGCTATGGGGCTATTTTCTTAAAAGCGAGCTGGCCACAATTGATAACGAAGTGGCTTCATCATCGTCATCATCGTGTGGAAATTTATAGTGGCAGCCAAACACTCTAAAACGCGTGATGTTGATTCTAAATGTGGAGGGAAAAACCGGAGTACTCGAGAACAGTCCACCCGACTACGGGCAGAGAGAGACAACCGCAAACTCCAAATAATACAGGTGTCGGGGTCAGGATCAAACCCACGACCTTCTGCATACCAGGAGAGGTAGTCAACATCTCACCACGGTACACTCACGCTTCTGTTATCAGAGCTGCTTTACCTCCATTTCTTCGCATCGCAATCCAGACTGGACCTGCAAAAGAAGACGCATTTAAATGCCAATGCGTTGTTCATCTTGGCACGTGCACTAAATTTTCGTGTTTACGTTAATGCACATGAACGTTAATTGTCTACTCGAGTTCCCCAGAATTGTTTGGGGTTGATCCAAAACCTAACATGGGCGTAGATACGGCGTTCCACGCGATCCCAAGGGAATGGCGTCACAGGAAATGAGGTAACGCGTTAAGCATCACTTTCGTTAGTTTTTGGGTGTCGTGTAGCGCGGAACGAGTTAATTTTATTTTGAATGGGGGAGGAGTGAATTAGTAAATGCGGAAAGACGGAGGAGCATGGTGGTGGTGGGTGGTGATGGGTGGTGGTGGTGGGTGGTGGTGGGTGGTGATGGGTGGTGGTGGGTGGTGGTGGTGGGTCGCGAGGACTGGAGCTTGGTAAATCCTGGTGTAGGTTTCATGTAGACTTTTCACGATAACCCTCCACCACCTGACAGAGCCAATCAAATAAAGTTGTCACGCTGGGGGCAAATACGCCACTTGATTAGGTTTATCGGTAAAAAAACCCAGAGGAGGAGGAATGTTGCAAAGCCAAAGCGAGGTACGACGACTTGGTTCCACGTGTTAGAGCCTCTATTAACACCCGGTGCCAGTTGTTATCTACCGGAGAGGTGTGACAATGATGTGCTGGTTGTTATCCTAGGGGGAATATTATTACAATAATATATAATAATGCTTGGTTTTACGTGTAGCAGGTGTCATCCATACAAATGTCATCACAATCGCTGAGGAGCCACAGACACGAGCCGGAAGGCAGCAGAGGCGGTGGTGGCTAGGGCAGTGAGTCGGCGCTCCAAACAATTCGCCAAGCTTTGCAGTCCTGTATATATCGAGATGTTTGCTCACCAATCAAACTAAATAGATCTTCGCAGCTCATGGGATTCCTCCAGGATAAACCAAGATCCTCATTCTGATAAGTCATTAGATATTGTGATCAAGAGTGCTTGTGCGTGTGGGAGGAAGCTGTCGTGTTGTATTGCGCGGTGAGAGAGCACGTACCCCTTCTTCCAGGCGAACACGATGCTGCCCAGCATTCCCGTTCCACCTGCAAAACACAAAATTAAACACTCCAACATGTAGGTAGAGACCGGCGTGGTGAAGCATGGCCACATAACCCCCCCCGCCCCCCTGCCCCATCACCGGCATGGGGAGGCTCTCATCTAAGGGTGCCGCAGTGGCTGTGAGATGTTAACTACCTCGCCTGGTACGCAGGAGGTCGTGGGTTCGATGCCGACCCTGAGGCCTGCTGTGTATTTGGAGTTTGCGTCCATCTCTCTCCCAATGTTGATTTATCTCCGCGTCCTCTGGTCTTTTCCTCCACATTTATGAGCAACATCACTCGTCTCGAGTCTTTCGCTACTAAATTTTAATTTAAAGCTTTCGTGACTGCAGTAATTCATATTCTTAGCTCTTTTGGTAAAGTCACGTTGAAGGGAAACAATAAAACAATAAAATATATATTGTTTTATATATCTTTCGCTACTGCTAGAAATGTCCACGTGCTAAGCCATGAGCTATCATTTGTGGCCAGGTCGCTTTTGAAAAATAACTACATAGCTCAGTGGGCCTTACCTCGTAAAGTAAAACAGATTTTCCTTGAGTTTTTACCGGCGGTCCGACCTGTCCAGTAATGTTTAAAACGACGTTGTATATTTTATTGGGTGACTGCATCATCAAGCCCCGCCGGCCAAAACGTCCGGAACGTGCCCGATCTCGACCAATCTGCGGAGGCAGCGAGCACCGGTGGATCGCGTGGCTGTTGATGGGATCTCGGCAGAGGTAGCTCTCTGATATCCGCTTCAGCGGGCCGCCCTCCCGCACCAAGGGGTCGCGCTGCTCCGAGAGGTTTTCCCAATGGATTATTCGGCTCATGACGCCGACAGCACAATTAGGACACAATTTTAATATACAATATATAAAATATATTTATATATCATATATGTTAAATGATTATAGTTGTTTATTGAGAGTTAGGCCAGCGAGAGTCACCGGGAAACAAACATTTGTAACTCACTTGAGTTATATCCCACGTAGAAGCGTGGGCAGTTTAATTGGGTCTAAGCTTCACACCCACGTTGCCCATCCCCGGCACATCAGCGAAAGAGAGCTCGACAGCTCATCGGCTTCCTCCGGTCCACACCAAGATTTTAATTTACGATTATTATAAAAGCACCGGGCCCGTGCCGACCCCACGGGTGTCCGGCGACCGTGCGGCCGCTCGCGTTCCGGCCCCGTCGCCCCCACACCGAACTCACTCCTCAGGAGCCAGGTGACGGTGGCCCCGGCCAGCGAGGCGGCGGCGTCGCCCACGCCCACGCCCTTGAGCATGGCCTGCGTGGCCAGCGCGCCCGTCACGCTGCTGCAGAACGCCTGCACGCACCACCACCACCACCACGGTGGCATCAACGCGCCGACCACAGCCGCCTCGTCTTCACGGTCACCTGAGCAGATATACCGTGTCCTGGAGTCTCACCCACACCCGGGGGAACGCTGCTGCTGCTGCTGCTGCCGCTGCGCGAACAGAGTGGAACAACGCGGACGTCCAGAGTGGAATAACGCGGACGTCCAGAATAAAATATTCCTCATTCGAGACCCAAACATCATCATCATCGCACTGCCTCCTGGCTTTGCCATTCCTCCTCCTCCTTCAAGGCACTCGTGGAGCCATCAACCGCATCGACCGCTTAAAGTTGTGCGGCTACGCACCTGGAGCGTGTCCCACATCTGGTAAGTCAGGTAGTCTTCGCTCACGCTCTCCGGGTAGCCTTGGGGCAGGAACACCGACTGCCACAAAGGGGGAAGATTGAACGCAGAGTTAGGGCAGCGGCAGGCCCAAAGCTCCGGGTTAAGGAGGCCACAAACAAATAAATCCACGCCAGGGTTCCCGCAGTCCCACGTGGCGACACCAAGCAGGTGGATTTCATCCATTACTGGAACACAACAGCAAAGCGTGGTGATGATTGTGATGAAGTATGTACTGTATGCATGGTGAACTTCTTTCGCACCGCACGTAGCCAACCGTGATAATCGGAGGTGCGGGGGGACAATGAACTTACACACAAAAAGCTGTTCTAATTAAATTAGTTGTCAATATACTACACGCTCACTACTATACTACACTCACTACTACACACTCACTACTGCTACACGCTCACTACTATACTACACACTACCACACACTCACTACTATACTGCACTCACTGCTACACACTCCTACACGCTCACTACTATACTACACTCACTACTATACTACACTCACTACTACACACTACTACACACACACTACTACACAATACTACACACTCACATCTGCATGTTAACTATCTCCCCTGGTATACAGGAGGTCATGGGTTCGATCCCGACCCTGACGCCTGTATAGTTGGCGTTTGCGTGTCTCTCTCCCTCTCCCTGTGGCCGTGTTTATGTTTCCCTCCACATTTGGAATCAACATCACGCATTTAGAGTATTTGACGGCTGCTATACATCACAACGCGACAAGCCACTTCGTTGGGCTATCAATTGTGGCCAGGTCACTTCTGAAGAAGAGTGGTGTTTATGGTAATGGTTCGGGGTTTATGATCATGGTTTACAGTGGCTAGGGTTTGGGTTAGCCCACAGCGGTGCCTCCCATGGCCACTGTTGTTTCGTCTGAACAACACACGGAGGAGGAGTGAAGCATCGAATGGAGACAAGTCCTCAGCCTTGCGTAGAACCACCCGCAGGTGCAAAGAACTGCACGTGCACCGATTGTGCCATCTTGGGCTCGTGGCGTCTCGTAAGTATCTCGTGATTAGTCCCGTGATACAAAGACGAAGGCGGCCTTTAACCAAATTGTTGGGGCAAGTGCTGTTAACGAGCACCTGTTGAAGGCCGGCACGGCACACGAGGGGGTGGGTGTTCTGCACCACGCACGGCCGCCTTTGTCTCCCCAGTGCTGACGGTTCTCACACCGCACCAGGTACTCATTTGAGGCCCAGTCGACCTAGGGGAGGCCCAGGACCGGTTCAAAGAATCGTCACTGGTGGTGTTGGCCGTGAGTGGGAATCAAACTCGGGTCGCCGGGTTCGTAGCGCAGCATAGCGCTAACCGCAACACCACCACTCCCCACACACACAGTACACACAAACAGACACACACACAGTACACACTACACAGTACACACACAGACACACACAGTACACACACAGTACACACACAGACACACACAGTACACACTACACAGTACACACTACACAGTACACACAGTACACAGACACACACAGTACACACACACAGTACACACACACACACTACACACACAGACACACACAGTACACACTACACAGTACACACACTACACAGCACACACACTACACACAGTACACACACTACACACAGTACACAGACACACACAGTACACACTACACAGTACACACTACACACAGTACACACACACAGTACACACTACACACAGTACACACACACACAGTACACACTACACACACTACACACAGTACACACACACAGTACACACACACACAGTACACACATTACACACACAGTACACACACACACACAGTACACACACTACACACACAGTACACACTACACACAGTACACACTACACACAGTACACACACAGTACACACTACACACAGTACACACACAGTACACACACTACACACAGTACACACAGTACACACTACACACACCACACACAGTACACACACACAGTACACACACACAGTACACACACAGTACACACACAGTACACACACTACACAGTACACACACAGTACACACTACACACAGTACACACTACACACAGTACACACACACACAGTACACACTACACACAGCACACACAGTACACACTACACACACTACACACAGTACACACACACAGTACACACACACAGTACACACTACACACAGTACACACTACACACAGTACACACACTACACACAGTACACACACACACACAGTACACACACTACACACAGAACACACACAGTACACACACACACAGTACACACACTACACACAGTACACACACTACACACACTACACACAGTACACACACACAGTACACACACACACACACAGTACACACACACTACACACAGTACACACACTACACACAGTACACACACACAGTACACACACACACAGTACACACACTACACACAATACACACTACACACAGTACACACACTACACACAGTACACACACACAGTACACACTACACACAGTACACACTACACACAGTACACACACACACACAGTACACACACTACACACAGAACACACACACAGTACACACACACACAGTACACACACTACACACAGTACACACACAGTACACACACTACACACAGTACACACACACACAGTACACACACACAGTACACACACACAGTACACACACTACACACAGTACACACACACAGTACACACACACACAGTACACACACACTACACACAGTACACACACTACACACAGTACACACACACAGTACACACACACACAGTACACACACTACACACAATACACACTACACACAGTACACACACTACACACAGTACACACACACAGTACACACACACAGTACACACTACACAGTACACACAGTACACACACTACACACAGTACACACACTTCACACAGTACACACAGTACACACACTACACACAGTACACAAAGTACACAAAGTACACACAGTACACACTACACACAGTACACACACACACAGTACACACACTACACACAGTAGACACACACACAGTACACACTACACACAGTACACACACACACTACACACACAGTACACACACTACACACAGTACACACACACACAGTACACACAGTACACACACTACACACAGTACACACACAGTACACACACAGTACACAGTACACACACAGTACACAGTACACACACAGTACACACAGTACACACACTACACAGTACACACAGTACACACACTACACACAGTACACACACACCGAGCAGCTCACCGTCAGAGCGTCTAGGAGGCCCCCGCGACTCTGACCATGGCCCCGGCCTCTCCAGACGAGGGCCCCGTCAGGCCCTCGCGAGTAGTGTCGCTCGGGACGGCTCCCGTAGCGCTCACTGGCCACGACCTCAAACTCCTCCATGGCAATCTCGTCCACGCCAAACCCTTCCTGCAGTCACCACCAACAGCGTCGTCATCGTCAACAGCGGTTACCGGGTGTATGTTGAATGTTGGCTGGTGATGGGACATTTATAGCAGCTCAAACACTCTAAACCATCACCACTCCTCACTGCGTCATCACCACTCCTCACTACGTCATCACCACTCCTCACTGCGCCATCACCACTCCTCACTGCGTCATCACCGCTCCTCACTACGCCATCACCGCTCCTCACTACGCCATCACCACTCCTCACAACGTCATCACCACTCCTCACTATGTCATCACCACTCCTCACTACGCCATCACCACTTCTCACTACTCCATCACCACTCCTCACTACGTCATCACCACTCCTCACTACGTCATCACCACTCCTCACTACTCCATCACCACTCCTCACTGCGTCATCACCACTCCTCACTAAGCCGTCACCACTCCTCACTGCGTCATCACCACTCCTCACTGCGTCATCACCACTCCTCACTACGCCATCACCACTCCTCACAACGTCATCACCACTCCTCACTGCGTCATCACCACTCCTCACTACGCCATCACCACTCCTCACTACGTCGTCACCACTCCTCACTACGCCGTCACCACTCCTCACTACGCCATCACCACTCCTCACTACATCACCACTCCTCACTACGCCATCACCACTCCTCACTACATCACCACTCCTCACTACGCCATCACCACTCCTCACTACGTCATCACCACTCCTCACTACGCCGTCACCACTCCTCACTAAGCCGTCACCACTCCTCACTACGTCGTCACCACTCCTCACTAAGCCGTCACCACTCCTCACTACGCCATCACCACTCCTCACTACATCACCACTCCTCACTACATCACCACTCCTCACTACATCACCACTCCTCACTACGCCATCACCACTCCTCACTACGCCATCACCACTCCTCACTACGCCATCACCACTCCTCACTACGCCATCACCACTCCTCACTACGCCATCACCACTCCTCACTACGCCATCACCACTCCTCACTAAGCCGTCACCACTCCTCACTACGCCGTCACCACTCCTCACTACATCACCACTCCTCACTACGTCATCACCACTCCTCACTACGTCATCACCACTCCTCACTACATCACCACTCCTCACTACGTCATCACCACTCCTCACTGCACCATCACCACTCCTCACTACGTCATCACCACTCCTCACTGCGTCATCACCACTCCTCACTACGCCATCACCACTCCTCACTGCGTCGTCACCACTCCTCACTACGTCGTCACCACTCCTCACTAAGCCGTCACCACTCCACACTACATCACCACTCCTCACTACATCACCACTCCTCACTACGTCATCACCACTCCTCACTACGTCATCACCACTCCTCACTACATCACCACTCCTCACTACGCCATCACCACTCCTCACTACGCCATCACCACTCCTCACTAAGCCGTCACCACTCCTCACTACGCCGTCACCACTCCTCACTACGCCATCACCACTCCTCACTACATCACCACTCCTCACTACGTCATCACCACTCCTCACTACATCACCACTCCTCACTACGTCATCACCACTCCTCACTGCACCATCGCCCCTCACAACCCCCATCGCCGCTCTCACCTCCCCACTCACCAAATACAAAGCCCCCCCCCCACCCTGTAGCCTCTAAAAGACTGCTGGGGCAAGTGCTATTAGCACGTGTGCGTGTGTAAGGCACGCGTGCGTGTGTGGTGCGTGCGTGTGGCACGCGTGTGTGTGTGTGGTGCGTACGTGTGGCACGCGTGTGTGTGTGTGTGTGGCACGCGTGTGTGTGTGTGTGTGTGGCACGCGTGTGTGTGTGTGGCACGCGTGTGTGTGTGTGGCACGCGTGTGTGTGTGTGGCACGCGTGTGTGTCACGCGCGCGTGTAAGGCACGTATGTGTAGCGCGCGCGCGTGTGTGTAAGGCGCGCGTGCGTGTGGCACGCATGTGTATGTGTGTGTAGCGCGTGTGTGTGTGGCACACGAGGGGGTGGGTGGTCAGAACCACGCCCGGTCGTCTTTGTCTCCCCAGCGGCGATGTTTACTACACACCGCGCCAAAGGTACAACTTTTAGGCCGAGTAGACCTAGGGGAGGCCCAGGACAGGTTCAGATAATCGTCACCGGTGTTGGTGGCGGAGCGGGAAATTGAACCCGGGTCGCTGGGGTTGGTAGCGCTAACTGCTGCACCACCGCTCCCCTATTTCAACCAGCCCTCTCATCGAACCTCACAACAACTTCTCCCCTCACCTTCCCACTTCTCACCTCCCCCCTCACCCCTCACCTCCCCACCGCCTGGTCCACCCGGCGCCGTGGACACGTGGCGAGCGAGAGAGCAGCGGTGATGTAGAGAGACAGAGGGAGAGAGACAGAGGGACACGAGTCTCGTGTGTAGGGAGAGAGACAGAGGGAGAGACAGAGGTATACGAGTCTCGTGTGTAGGGAGACAGAGGGAGAGAGACAGAGGGAGAGACAGAGGGAGAGGGAGAGAGACAGAGGGACACGAGTCTCAGTGTGTAGAGAGACAGAGGGACGTGTACTGTACACGGGTTCCGTGTTTGGCGGTAGCCACGAGAGGAGGCGAACCCCCGGCGCGTCACTTCCTCTCCCACTCCCTCCCCCCACTCCCTCCCCCCACACACCCCCCCCTCCCACTCCCCTCCCACCCCTCACACTCCCACCCCCACCCCTCACACTCCCACCCCCCACCCCTCACACTCCCACCCCCCACCCCTCACACTCCCACCCCCCACCCCTCACACTCCCACCCCCCACCCCTCACACTCCCACCCCCCACCCCTCACACTCCCACCCCCCACCCCTCACACTCCCACCCCCCACCCCTCACACTCCCACCCCCACCCCTCACACTCCCCCCTCCCACCCCCCACCCCTCACACTCCCCCCTCCCACCCCCCACCCCTCACACTCCCCCCTCCCACCCCCCACCCCTCACACTCCCACCCCCCACCCCTCACACTCCCCCCTCCCACCCCCACCCCTCACACTCCCCCCTCCCACCCCCCACCCCTCACACTCCCCCCTCCCACCCCCCACCCCTCACACTCCCCCCTCCCACCCCCCACCCCTCACACTCCCCCCTCCCACCCCCCACCCCTCACACTCCCCCCTCCCACCCCCCACCCCTCACACTCCCCCCTCCCACCCCCCACCCCTCACACTCCCCCCTCCCACCCCCCACCCCTCACACTCCCCCCTCCCACCCCCCACCCCTCACACTCCCCCCTCCCACCCCCCACCCCTCACACTCCCCCCTCCCACCCCCCACCCCTCACACTCCCCCCTCCCACCCCCCACCCCTCACACTCCCCCCTCCCACCCCCCACCCCTCACACTCCCCCCTCCCACCCCCCACCCCTCACACTCCCCCCTCCCACCCCCCACCCCTCACACTCCCCCCCTCCCACCCCCACCCCTCACACTCCCCCCTCCCACCCCCACCCCTCACACTCCCCCCTCCCACCCCCCACCCCTCACACTCCCCCCTCCCACCCCCACCCCTCACACTCCCCCCTCCCACCCCCCACCCCTCACACTCCCCCCCTCCCACCCCCACCCCTCACACTCCCCCCTCCCACCCCCACCCCTCACACTCCCCCTCCCACCCCCCCACCCCTCACACTCCCCCCTCCCACCCCCCACCCCTCACACTCCCCCCTCCCACCCCCCACCCCTCACACTCCCCCCTCCCACCCCCCACCCCTCACACTCCCCCCTCCCACCCCCCCACCCCTCACACTCCCCCCTCCCACCCCCCACCCCTCACACTCCCCCCTCCCACCCCCCACCCCTCACACTCCCCCCTCCCACCCCCCACCCCTCACACTCCCCCCTCCCACCCCCCACCCCTCACACTCCCCCCTCCCACCCCCCACCCCTCACACTCCCCCCTCCCACCCCCCACCCCTCACACTCCCCCCTCCCACCCCCCACCCCTCACACTCCCCCCTCCCACCCCCCACCCCTCACACTCCCCCCTCCCACCCCCCCACCCCTCACACTCCCCCCTCCCACCCCCCACCCCTCACACTCCCCCCTCCCACCCCCCACCCCTCACACTCCCACCCCTCACACTCCCACCCCACCCCCCATCCCTCACACTCCCCCCCTCACACCCCCCCCTCACACTTACCCCCCTTCACACCCCCCTCCCACCCCCACCCACCCTCCCACCCCCCCCTCCCACTCCCCTCCCACCACTGCGGCGCGCGTGAACCATGACGTACACGGGCGCGTGCTTCACAGCGGACGGTAACGATCCCGTGACGTCATCCGACCCGAGTCGGCCATTGCGTGGTGACGTCACGGCCCAAATCTCGTCAAGAAAATGGACCCGAAAATGTCTCCACTGGGATTTAAGATGACGTCACCTCCCTACCGGCAGACGAATGGCCACTTTAGTTCAACACGGAGGAGGCTTTCGTGACCAACATCATCCATAAGGTTGTTTTGGGTTAGATCGTGTAAATATAAATGTGTCGTTAAACCCTCCACCACCCGACATGGCCAATTTGTAAGGTTTGTCACGTAAACAGAACGTGCCAATGTGTTACTAGCACAGCACAGCTGTTGTGTGGTGTTGGAGAGCGAATCCACACAACAGGTAATGATGATGCCCACGTTCCAGGGTGGTGCCGGGCTCCCCTACCTGGGGTGCCATGCAGGCAGCGGCCGCACCGAGGGTGCCTTTTGAACGTTTGATTGCCGATGCTTTAGGCGCTTGAGAGTTGCCGAGGCAACGGCAAACGCGCATCGCGAAAGTATTGTCGATGTGGAGACCCATTGGTTGGCTTGGCCAAATCAGCAAAGTGTCGATGGCAGCGCGCCCCGCTCCAAGTCCCCCTTCAGCACTCACGTGGCCACGGGTCGGCCGTGGCCACGGAGATGATTCATTCACTTCCGCGTTGAGACTCGGGGCAAAAAAACAAAATTGGCACATGCATTTGGTGGAATTGCTTTTGCCGAAAGTCCAGTTACCACCAAGAAATCACATTCTGCATATGGCCTCTGCGTTGAACTTCTTTCGCACCGTACGTAGCCGGCCGCGCTAATCGGAGGTGCGGGGGAAGGACAACAAACTAAACAGACAGCAGTTTTAAAGAAACTCAGTCGTGAAATATAGTAGCCTTATAAACCTGGGACACGTGACACTTCGGGGTCGGCATCTGTTGACCTGGCACGTGGTGACCCTTGAGATTCTGTATTTCCAGAGTCCTGATAAAACGCCGTGACACAATTTAGCCTGCAACTCTGCAGCCTTGAGACACTGTGACACAACACAGGTGTTTTAGCAATAGCAAATATTGATAGGAAGAAAAAAAGACTTTCAAAGGTTTCACAATAAAGCAAAAATAACATTAACTCTGAGACAATGTGAGGGTACACGCAAGCATTTATTAAGATAAACATTTAATTCAGCTTGAAAGACATTAGGTGTCCACAGTTATATATAGTCCTGAATGAACACTTTACTTCAACATGCTTGATATAATACTCATTTACTAGTATATGTTACTATTAATAGATTCAAACAGAAAAGTCTAACATTGGCATGTAAAAAATAAAAATGATACACACACAAAACGTAATTGTGACGGTTTAAAATACAGGTTAAAATAATAAATTACTTAAAATACCTATTACCACACTCTCGCAAAAACACGTACTACTACAACACCGACGTGTAGTAGAGTTGCTAAACAGCAGCAATTATCAAACTAGGGCTACTGAAGATTAGAGCTGCTAACCGTTTTTCTGTACGTTCAGTCACTCCTACGGCATGCATGCATGACAGAGATTACGGTCACATTCCATGGATTCCGAAAAGTCTATTAAAAGACAAAGCATCATTAAAAAAAATCGTGCGATTTGGCAAAAAAATTAATCACAAATGAGACGAGTGGCTAACATCCACTCGGTTCACCGCTCAGTTTTCTTCAGTTCCATGCACTTCAAATGCATTCATTTTACACCGGTTAATTTCCACGCGCTATCGTCGTCACTAACAGTGACAGAAAAAGCAATTCCAACAGTTAATCCCTGTCGTGAATTCATTTCATCTGCGCAAATTACGTGGGTCAAACGTATACACAGCACAACCCAAATGTAAAGATAATTCGGCTTCATTGTATTTGCCAAAAATTAACTATAAACCGTCTTGAATCAAGCTGCTCGCTAAAAGCTCCCAAGCAAATGTGCGCAACGCCACAGAGGAAGGAAAAGAGATAACACACACAAATCACCCGTTCCAGAAAACAATAACTTTTACCATGCAAACAAAAAAACCCGAATCACTTGCACGTGAATGATGCCTGAAGGGCACACGCACCTATTGATTAAAATCAAGATTGTCAATAAGGGAAAGAGATCATCATTCATCTGGTGACCTAGCAGGTTTCAACATTTTATGTTGACAAACGTTGATTTTTATTTTTAAATTGTAGTTTATAAAGCGACGTCCCTAGGTTTACTTCGCAAGAGTAGCTCGAAGTACAGACGAGTTGAGAGCTGGCCAAGAGTTCTCAATTTGGATCAGGTTGACAAATACAGACCTGAGAAGGTCCAAAGTTGAGAGGCTGGGAACGAAGAGGCCAAATGCATCAACGTTCAGCAACGCGGCTGAACAAGGTTAACGACGATGATCAGAATCTGTACTTTCCTGGAGGAATCCGATGAGCTATGAAGCTCTTTTTCACAGATGTCCAGCAGGGAGAGGTCCCGCGGTGTTAGAACTGGGAGGAATCGAGGCATGTCTGCTGTTTTGTGACCGTTAGCTGGGATCTATCCGCAAGTATCGATGAGGCTACACAACTTACAAAGTGTTTATCCGGATGGTGTAGTCACAGATCAAGCAACTCTGTGGAGCTCTTTACGAGCAGAGGTTTCAATCGACGTTAATCGTTGCACGAGAAAATTGTTTCTCCAGAAAATGCAATCCCGCCACACGTACGTGATGACAATGAAAATTGGTTAAGCGTAAGCAAGATCTTTCAAACACGCAACATAACAAAAAATGGCCATTTACCGCTCACAAATAAAACGTTAACAGTCCCGAGACCCAAACCCTGGATTCATACCCCGTCCGTCTAGCGCCGATTTAACCGAGCCTGTGAAGCTCGCGGTAAACAGGGCCCTCCAAAAACGTGCCAACAACGTGAGAAGTTGAAAACTGCCACCTGCCTGGCCTCAAAAGCGTCACCTTATAACTCGCGGGCAGGAAATGACGTCAACACCTTCAAGTAGATTTGTTCCTGAGGTTTGTTCAGTCACGTGCCCGTCTGTGTAAAGAGTGCACCTTTTCTCATTATAACCTGCCAAGTGTAAATAACGGTGGAAACGTCGTGCATACGAACCTCCTTGGTATACCGACTGACCAAAGGTCAGACTACCTTTGCGACATGTAAAGTGATCCACGTGCTGCGATGGGTACATCAGTACCCCCACCACCGCACCAGATGCAATTGTTTCTTTTTTAAACATTGTTGTGAATGTAGCGGCCTCAAGTGGTCGTACCCTACGACGTACAACAGACACACGAGACTTAAGACGCAGAGATCGTTACGTGCACGGTTCACATGGCTACGGGGAGGACGCGCCGCTAACACCACCCCGCTGTACGCGAGCACTCGTGGAAGCAGACTGGACTCTCTTCAATTTGCAACAGACCTCCAGCAACACGACTGGTTGTGTGCCCTCCGAGATATACGCCAGAAAGAAACACAATTTTCTTTTAGAGTATATTGAAAATTCAATGATTGTTATTTTTTTTTTAGAGATATAAGTGGTTACTCAAGGTACTTTAGCTTTCGTTGAATTTTCCAGTTAAGTGTAAACCTAATCATTTTCAAGACATTCCAAAGAGGAAAGTTGAAAGGCAAGATACAATTGTACGATTTACCCTGTACTGACAAGCTATGGGAGGGCAAAATTGCATCTCCTCCTCCTCTTCTTTTAACGCCCCGTCAACCGCCAAATTCATCCGAACCTGTCAGCAATGAATAATAACCTCGTTTTTATGCGCTCCAATCCTCATGGCAGAGGCTTTTCAAAGAACAGACATGACACAGGCTCGCGCGCACACACCTTAAGATTCACTGCTACCGATGAGCACAATACCCTGCTGGGATGAAATAATCCAAAAACAACCTACTTGAACCCCGCACACAACGGAGCAACCAGGTTTCTTTTCTTTTGCTCAAACGACGCGAGCGTTTTCCACGCGGCCACGAGGAAGTTTTACGATGCACACTGAAAAACGTACGCACGTATTTGTTCGAATCACACTTGGAACTAAAAAAACTACAGAAGCGCGTTCGCTCAATTTTAACGACTGTATTCATCGGCTCGTCTGTAAAGAACCGAAATTGAGACGGCGAGGCAATGTGACAACCTCCGGAATTCCACTTAAAAACAAACACCCGGAGCATATCTGCATTACCAATTCCGCTTGTCCAGGTGGCTCTTAAGTAATTTGTTCCAAACTGCTGTGGCTGTCCCGACGTGCTGCTCGCATCGGCCTATTTGGTGAGCGTCGTGGTGGCACCACCGTCTTAGGGAGTCACATTTATATTTGGCCAGCGTTGCATTGTGAATGAAGGCTTAAGTCCAGGGGATGTCAAAATCAATCGGACAGCAGGTCGGTTTTGGACTCAAATGCATCTCCCGCCGGTCACACAGTTGGGCCTATGAAAATTAAAAGCATAATGAACGCCACGGTGTAAATTTAGCAATTCTAAATCCAAAAGCATGGCTAAAGAGAGTTTTTTTTTTATGGCATGACACGTGCCCAAATCTCCCGTTTTCAATGTCCGATTTAAATCCAGTTTGAATTTAGGTAAGAGCTTTTAAAAAATATAATTAAAATTATATAAGGCGTAACAAATGAGAACACGTGGTGGGCCGGAGGAAGGGGATTGTGGGGCTGTGTGTTTGACACCCCTGGTCTAAGCCACTCAATACGAACGTGGGATCACCAGAGGATTCCACAGTGCTACACCCCAACCGTGGAGTTGCCGAGATGTCTACCTGGCAACCACTGCAGAAGAACCTTCAAAAGTTGCTCGGATATTTCAGATGTGTGGATATCCGTGGGAGAATTGCTCCGGTCAAATTCAAGCGTGAGAATACTCGTATTTGGTAATAATGTTCAGTTAAGAATACCGTCATTCTGACTGCCACAAGCGTGCCACCTTGAAACCCTCCTGTCTTGCATTGCTCGGAAGCTTTCGCGATGGTGCAGTTGCCACAAAGCAGCCACAAAGCAGCGCTGTAGCATCGTGACGTGGTGTATAACCCAACGTGTTGGGTAAATGACTAAGTTTCTGGAGGCCTACGTTGCAAAACTGTGTGTGAAACGGACCGATGCGCTTTTATACAAAGGCATTGTATTTTAAACGTTAGCAAAGTAATTCTTAATATTTCACACATTAATAACAAACAAATAAAATATATAACACTTTTAACCACAATTACGATAGCGAAAGGCAAGGCTTAACAGTAAATGCGGTGCGATTAATACGTCGCGCCAAACTGCCCTCACGTCTACAAGTCACGTTTGCATTATTGATGAGCTTCGGAGAGATAATTTTCAAACAGCAAAAACAGTAACACACGCTATGGTTCGCTGTGCGGCCACACTTGTCCCCCACCACCCGCCCCCCTTCCTCTTCGCCTTGATCGTTCTCGAATGAGAAAAGCAACTGGCAAACATTCCACCCTCCACCCCGTCCATCACTAAGAACAACGTCCCGCATTCACTCCGCGCTCGCTCTCAGCGGCCGACTTTGCTTTGTGCACGCAACGGCTGACCAGCGTCCTCATGCTTCCTACGATTGTGGCGAGACTAATGAATCTCGGCGCACGCACGGACGCACGCGAAACAACATTCTCCCAATGCAACGGACCCAAACACCAACGCGGTCACCGAGCATAGTAATATTAACAATGCCATTTAAGTAGACAGGAAAGAATGTGTCCCAAGACTGTTGCAGGCAGTTCCTGCACTAGGATGTTTTGCCAAGTCTACGAGCGGCACGTCGAAGGAAATCATAATCACCGGAGATAAACCCACACAACGCATGAAGGATCGCATTCAGTGCTCTGTACAGATGGATTCAATCCACTCGCTGTACTGCCTGATCACATCAGAGCCCAGCAGGTTTGGCGTTTCACAAATGTGTGGTCCACCAACCCTTGCATCCCCAGTTTTGCATTCAAGACATGCACAAACCACCGCACCTCGCTTAGTGTGGCACCCTACACAACGGAGTAATACAAAAACACAACCCCACGGTGACGGATGGATTACCTCATTGTGTTTTGGTGCTCCAAACACATACACTACATGTTGTTAATGAGCATCTTCTTTGGTTCTTTCGGTAAAGTCACGTAGAATGAGAATAAAATAATAAATTGATAAAATAAAATAACACAATAATATTCTCACGACGTTTCGGCCACAACACAAGCGGCCTTCATCAGGTGAAGGGAGCGAGACTGTCTGGTAGGACATTTTATTTTATCAATTTATTATTTTATTCTCATTCTACGTGACTTTACCGAAAGAACCAAAGAAGATGAATCATTGCAGTCACGAAAGCTTTAAATCGAAATTTGTTAATGAGCACTTTAAAAAAGAGGCTTTGCTCTGCACAACACAAACATCTATAGGTGGGTTTGGCCTTCATCAGAACTGCTGCCAAACAAAAACGGGACAGGTTTCCACTGGACGGGATTGCTGACATACAAATGTAAAACGTACGGACACTGGTCTGAACGCTCTTCTAAACTAATTCCCGCTTGAGCCCAACTCCATCAAATTGTAAACACCAGCTGAGAGCACGGAACACAGCATACCGGGATGACAATATTAAACCGAATCTCTTGGCCCGTTATCTGGTCAGAGGCTGGCTAGTCGAGTTGGTTCAGCAAGTTGAAAAAGCGCAGGGAGAGATACGCTCCAAATGTCCTCCCCTGGAAAGGGGCGGCGGCTAATCGACGGTTCCCGGTGCTGTTCCACGGCCCCGTTTTTGATACGGAGTCCCCTTCCGGCTTCATTTTCAAACGCTGGTCTTACAATGGACACATCTTTTGACAAAGGCTTTTCACGGACAGTACACAGCGCGGGCATCAAATGGCTCCTACAGCACTTATGAGTTATGTGGTAGCCAACTTTAAACTGCTGTGTTGCCATAAAAGGCCACCAAATTCCAACTGATGGAGGGATGGTCGAGGCATCTGGAATGGTGGTCTGTGTCATGCAATGCCTTGCTTGTTGGAAGGCATGAGAGTTATGATGTTTATGATTCTACCTCAGGGGCTGCAACTGCCTCGAACGCAGTGGTACAATGTTTAACCTAAAGTTGTAAAGGAGTGGACTGTGTTGTGGCGCCGATGAATTAGTGCTCAATGGGCGACAGGCGTTTAGATCTTCGTCATTACTTTAACCTGTTGGCAGATCTATTGCTTAATACAGATCTACAATGTCAAACTAACCTTGACAAATATCGGTTGGAGCTACAGTATACCCTACCACACAAAACATGAAAACAAGCTGTAAATTAATGTGAAGATACTGGAAAATGACCGTCTATTACGAGAGAAAATGCGTCCAGTGCCCCCATAAAAATACAATCAATCCCAATTTGGCTACCGTGTGGCGAGAGGGGCGGTGGTAATTTGGCAGTTCGTTAAATGCAAACCATTTGTACGAAGCCACTGTTGACCACAAAAGATTACTGCGCGAAAGCCTGGTGACATCCAACCCCGCCAAGTTGTATTTAAAACGCACTGCCACTTTCACAGCACGATGAGCATATTTTGGGAGCAAGGTCAAGCACACTAATCGGGCAACTAACTCTATTGAGAAAACATTCAGGTTACCACTTGTGTTAGGTAACAAAACTCGTATCAATGCTTAACTTCTTTCACACTAAATGTAGCCAACCATGCTAAATGGAGGTATGCGGGAAGGGCAACAAACTAAACACAAGTTCTAAAGAAATTAGATTTACAAGTGCATAGCTCCAGTGGCTTCCTAATATCGGAAGGGCGTTCCAGATGGCCGCAGAAGCGCGTCTGCAGTGAACCAAACGGCGAGAATATTTTTTTAACTGTCCAGCCTGGTGCTCCCGTGTCAAAGTTGGCTTACGGACCTGTCGCTGATTGCACCCTATCAAAATAGTAAAATGAACACGCTATTATGCCCAGGAGTTGGAACGGTGTGAGAACAGGGCCTTAGGGCACATCGTTAATGCAAATGGCCCGTGTCTTCTACGTTTTTGGACCAGCGGGTTCTGAAAAGTATAATTTGGGTTAGAAATCAAATTATATTTTGAGCTAGTGAAGAGCTGTTTTTTCTACTCGTAGGGAAAGGTGGGGGTGTGGCATTGGTGTAGCACTCGCAAGTTTGGAGATTACATACTCCGACCTCTTCAGTGAAGAATAAAAAAAAAAGCCGATGGTGCTGCGGATGCCGATACGCAAGCAGCACATGGGAATCACAAGAGGCACCAAACGAGACTGAGGTGCCTGGCTCAGTGTGTAATACTGTCGTCTATGGCACATGACATGGAATTTAGTGCTTATCCAACAAGGGGTGCGAGGTCTGCCAATACAGCCATAGGGAATAAACTTACCCATGTTAAATCGCCAACACTTTATAGGATGTATGCGCACACACCCCACACACGAGGGAACGCACACTCTGATCCACGATTGAAATAAAGTATCTACGCTGACAGATCTAAACTAAAGATTCTTATCCGTACATTTCCTCTACCACAAGAGTTAAAAACGATGTGTCGCAAGCCTGTTTGCGAGATATGTATATGGTGATCTCAAAATAATGAGAATGTACATGGCAACCGTTAATACAATCCATGTACGGAGTTATCGCCATGGCACAACTATATGGCAAATTCACATATTGATAATGGCTGAAACACACAACACCACTGCAGACCAAAGGGAACATCGGCAGGTTTTTTTTTAACCAGACATCAAATGATCCGTGAATCGTTTTTAAGAAAACTCTGTTATTGGGCTCAAAACGTGGCATAGCTTCAGATGGGCAAAGCAAAACCTGGTTGCTGTCGATTGTGTAACATCAGCGCGATTGCTACATCGGTGGATGCAGCCTCAAAATTCTGATACGAATCACACGAGACTTCCCAGCAGAGTTGCTGCCGACTTTATTGATTTCCAAATTTAACAGGGCCCTAGTGGCCCTGAAGCAAGAACTAATGCAATGTATCTGTTGGCATAGATTTTTAAGCGAAACATTCCGACAGCTACTTCAATATTGTTCAGCTGCCGTCGTTGGACTCTCAATGTTAACACTGCGACTGATATTTGTCCTTCTGGAGCATCACAAAATGAGACTGAGCACACGTAACATAAATAGAATCAACTAAATTGATTCGCCGGTGAAAAGCTACCGAGGTGCAAAGTGATCAGTAAAATAAAGTACTATTACTATGGAGCTCGCTACCGTATTCAGCATCACGTTCAATGTAATATGGATGACACGCATAATAATACAAAGGAATTCATTTGAGCACCTCTTTGGTTAGCGAAATACTCGGCCCCAGCTCTTCCCGAGCGCCCCGCGCCAGGCGCGGTCGACACGAGAGCCGCGCGCGCGTCAGAGCGGGCGGCTCGCGCGAGAAACATTCGCCGCACGTGACGCGACGCGCAGCGGGAAACAAGAGGCTCGCAACATTTTGCTAACAAAGCAGAATCGAACTCATCCCCCCCCCCCCCCCCCCCTGGTTGTGGCATGCGGTATCTTTTTTTAGTTTTCTTCGAGAGATCTTCGCTCCCTTTCAGGCCGTGCCATACACCTCTCTCCCCGCGCCAGTCGCCATTGCCGCCACCTTCGCCTCCTAGTTTCCTTCTCCAGCCTCGTCGTCCTGCTGGTCGGAGGTCCACAGTGTGAGGTTGTCTCGGAGGAGCTGCATGATTAGCGTCGAGTCTTTGTACGAGTCCTCGTTCAGGGAGTCCAACTCGGCGATGGCCTCGTCGAAGGCAGTCTTGGCCAACTGGCACGCCTGCTCCGGCGCGTTCTGGATCTCGTAGTAGAAGACGGAGAAATTGAGCGCCAGGCCCAGGCGGATGGGGTGCGTGGGCATCATCTGCTCCTTGCTCACCTCGTACGCCTCCTTGTACGCCTTCTCCGAGTTGGACACCACGTGGTCGCGCTTCTCCCCGGTGGCCACCTCGGCGAGGTAGCGAAAGTAGTCGCCCTTCATCTTGAGGTAGAACACCTTGCTCTCGTACTGCGGGTGGTCGCAGCGCGGGATGAGGTGGTTGTCGAGCAGGTTGAGGACGTCGCCGCACACCGCCTCGAGCTCCTGCTCGATCTTCTCGCGGTAGCTGCGCACCAGCCCCAGGCGCTTCTCGTTGCCGTCCGTCGCCGTCTTCTGCTCGATGCTGCTGATGACGCGCCAGGCCGAGCGGCGCGCCCCCACCACGTTCTTGTAGGCCACCGACAGCAGGTTCCGCTCCTCGTTGGACAGCGGCTCCGTCAGCTCGGTCACCTGGCGACGACGACACAGCCGGGCGGGGGGGGGGGGGGGCAACACACGATCATTACCCACGATACAGTTTTATAGGATTTCCCGGGTCAAGGTTCAAGGCAGTGTTTTACGATCATTATGCCCATAAGACAACCACTTTTGATTTAATCATGCATCATCGTCGTCGTCATCCTCAGCCACGATCAATCCACTGCTGGGTGAAGGTCTCTGCAAGCCGGAGCTACCATTCACAATCCTGCGATGCAACAACCAATCCAGCACCCACACAGGAACTCATCTAATGACTCCCATCTCCTCGGTGGAAGTCCTCTCAGATGCGTTCGCCGAATTTCTGATATTTTACTACGACTTTAAAAAGTTGGTGGTCTCCAACCCAAACGAGCGTGCGGGACTTACTCGTTTTTGGTATTTAGCCAAAACCAATGGTGGAAATTCCACATCCCTATGGTGAGATAATGTATTGCAAAAACAAAACTGGTTTAGTCGTAGTATATTTATTTATCGTGATTTGCTTATCTTTCCTATACTTTGTACTCCTATCGTTTTTTTAATTCTTTGTAATTGTAACTTTCTGACCTTCCCCTACTGGACATCTTTGAAAAAGAACTTCATAGTTCATCGGATTTCTCCAGGAAATTTTTATTCCGTACTGCTTGATTCACTAAAAAACAGTATTTTTGTTATTTATTTTATTTTTGTTTTATTTTTATTATTTCCCTTCTACGTGACTTTACCGAAAGAACCAAGAAGATGAATCCCTGCAGTCACGAAAGCTTTAAATCGAAATATTAATAACAATTTAACTAACTCAACAGCAGGGGGGATCTTATACCAAATATATTCCATGTTGAAACGAGCAAACAGTGGATGCATGCATCTGCATAAGAGCACGTGAAAAATATTCGACGGTGGAAAGGATCAAAATGAAACCTTATATTAATCTGGACGATAAAACGGCAACAATTTAACGTGGATATAATCGATGCGTCTCCCAGGCCTGAACATCACTGGCCTGACGTCTCCACTGGTGAGCCCCCAACCAGCGAGTAGACATTCCACAGCCCCATGATAGGGGCCAGGCTATTCATAGACCAACCACTGGTGAATTCCCTCAAAGCGTTACTAATTTTATCAACGCCAGAGGGATAATGGGCTGAGTCAACGCCTTAGTAAGTCGCTTTTTAGTCGAGTGAAACCACTGATCAGGATTTCAATGAGCTGTCAATGTTAAGCTTTTCTCCACATCAGTGTTCTACGACGTTGTTCATAAGCATAAGTCCACTGTGGGTATCACAAGGATTCATAAAAATCTGATCACACAATACTTGTTTAATTAATCATACGGATAACCGTTAACAATGCTCTACTCAATGGCACGCGCAATTTTAAATGACGGTACAACGAAAATAATGTCTTGTTTATTGAAGGCGGCCTCAGTCTCAGGATGGAGTCACATTGGGGAGTTGGACTCATTCTCTTTTTTGCAAGAGGGTGATTTCGAAGTGACAGTAAACCAGGGTAATAAGAGAAAACTCGCAAACTGCGGATATCACGGAAGTCTGTGTGGGAGTGGCAAATCCATTCGCCATATGGCCATTGCTTGGCCACATTTTCAACTCAATGAATGGGGTGCAGGCCACAGTGGCTAGGAGATGTTAACTCCCTCGCCTGGTATACAGGAGGTCGTGGGTTCGATCCCGACCTCGACGCTTGCTGCTGTATATTTTTTGGAGTTTGCATGTCTCTCTCTCATCATCACGGTGGCTAGATGTTAACTCCCTGGCCTGGTATATAGGAGGTCGTGGGTTCGATCCCGACCCCGACGCTTGCTGCTGTATATTATTTGGAGTTTGCGTGTACTCTCTCCCCGTGGTTTGCGTGCATTTTTCTCCGGGTCCTCCGGTTTTTCCTTCAACATTTATAAAGATGCGTTTAAGACTATATGGCTGCAATAAATTGTCACGTGATAAGCCACTTTGTTGAGTTATCATTTGTGGCCAGGTCGCTTCTGAAAAAGAGCTATACAGCTCAGTGGACCTTACCTGGTAAAATAAAAAATTGTTTTAATTTTCGATGGGTTGAAAGTCGAAATGAAAATGCTACCCGCTGCGTGAACCATGAACCCCCATCAGCAGAGCACAAAATGAGAGGCATGAATGAGCGTTACTGGGTTATATTTATAGCCAGAATATAAAAAAGACAAAGAGGGTGTCAATGCTCAAAGGAGAATAATTAGTGTGATGCTAATCTATAATGGCAGCCGCCCTGCACCAATGGTAGAGATTTATTCCACATTCCCATTCTGTGAGCCTCAAGTTTATTTTGTTGAGTGCAGACACTACAGGAGGCCATTTCACAGGTTGGAAACTGTCCAAATGATCCCTGAAAGGACTCAATCCAGAATGATACATAGTGCACACTCGGGATGGGCTTTGGATTAAAAATAAAGCAACTCACATTTTGGATTTTAAGAAAAATGTCGGAACATTTTTTGGAAGATTTACATTGCATAATAATTCAACATGTTTTCCTGCTAGCAAACCTAACATCACCCCATGCCACGACACCATTCTTGACGCAAAAGCGTGGACATGACGACGCGTTAGTGGCGTAACTTTGTGACGTCATGTTTCCAGATCAACCAGAATCAAACAAAAAAAATAAGATAATCTGAAATGTTGAACCTTGGCCTGGGGTTTGGGATTTTTTATATAAAAAATTTGGAACACATCGCTAGTACATACATAGATCCATGAATGTATAATAACCCAACAAATAGTTTTTACTTAAATGGCTAAAATTGAAACGCTAAAAATAATGCATGCTAATTATATTCAGCATGATATTCATGAGCAGCAGAGGCTCAAGCATCAATGAGTTGACAGGAACCGCAGTCAGCCCCCCAAACCCTTCAAGCTCAGCAGCTTCCCCCCCTACTGTTTACCCATCCTCCACTGCTTCCACGGGCAGGAAAAAACACCACCCCAACCTCTTTGCATCCAGACACATTACACGGACTCACTTGTAACAAAGTCCTGTTATCCCAGCACCTCCTCAGTTATAAAGAAAAATGATTTGTGTATATAGCCGAGCCCAAGGGGTCTGTTCAGACGGATGTGGGCCGGCACTCGTCTTCCTTAGCCAACCTGTGCCAGTGAAGGGAATTCTACACTCCTATGACAGGGGCCAGTCCTTCCAGAAGACAACGGTTGGGCCGTTACAAAATGGTGCTCATTTGTTCCACTCGATGTGAATGAGGAGGGGCGAGCCATCTCCCAACACCTCCAATTAACACGGCTGGCTACGTACGGTGCAAAATAAGTTCAACATACACACAACAAGGAGTTTTAACTCACGAAATTAACAATTCCACATTCACAAGCATATTCTGAAAAACATCAAGTCATAAAAGTGTGAAAACATTATTAAAATATGCACAGAACAGTAATCAACTCTTACAATCACATTGTCCTGTAATTTACCGGTAACGCCACCCTTCCATTTAGTGTAAACGAACCCCTTGACCCCTACATCTGAGTCGCGATTGCCACCTCAAACATTATTCTGGGCACCGTGGCAGAACTCGGTTCATCCTCCTGCGTTGCTGTTTAATCAACGGGATGCCATCAGAGCGTATTAAAGCATTCTGTGCGCTTTTGATGGGTGCACAAATTATTCATAATAATCCATTGAAATTGAGAGGAACAAGAATAACTTTAATCGCTCTGACAGCTACTGGCTTAGTGCGGCCTGGAAGCGTATTATTAAATAATACACATTACATTTTGATTTAAAGAATTACTAATCTACAACTCATTACTAATCATAACCAATGACTGATTACTAATCGATTATATAATTACATTACCCCCCCCCTCCGCCTCTAATCACTGCACCTGATGAGTTAAGTGATGACGTCACCCTGCTGCTCTATATAAAACCGGGAGCAAGCGAGGGCTTTACCATTCTGGCGAATTGCCCGATGATGCTGGAAGTATTTACCAGCGAAACGTCGTACTCAAACTGTAAATGTGGATTAACTCTTCAACACACCGGTGGGCTGAAGTAGTGAATTATTTGTCTTTTGTCAACGTGACACTTTTTTTGCTGATTGGCCGTGTCGGGTGGTGGAGGGTTACGACACATTTATAAATAAACGCGATCTAACCCAAAAACCTTTATTATGAATAATATTGGTCGCGAAAGCCTACGTGTTAAACTGCACAAATTATGTAACAGCCTTTTTAAAGACACCTTTCCGATAACAGACCTCCTTCCATAATGTGATATTAATGAGGTCATGATTCAATTTTTTTTGTCCTTTTGGTGCATGCAGTCTCAGGGACAGCAAGGTTTTCATGAATTTCAAATTATACGATTTGTCAATAATTTATATGTACACCGCCCATTTGATGCATATATTGTGAGCTGATGAATCAATTTTCATTGACAAATCTTTGCGTGCATATTTTCCTCACAAGTAACCTTTAGACGGGCGGAGTGGCAGCGCAGTGCGCAGCGCAAACCTGACGCGTGATTGGTGCTTAGCGCAATGCGCTAGGAACCTGGCAATCCCGAGTTCGATTCCCGGCCGCAGCTGACATCGGCGGTGAGCAATATCTGGAACCGGTCCTGGATCCCCCACGGTTTCCCTTTGCAAACTCCGCACTGACCAGCGTGGTGAAGTATGATCGAACAACTCCCACAGACCCAACGAGGCCCCACAGAGGGCTTCATCCAGCACTGGATTGACAAAAGAACTATATATTATTAACGGTTTAAATATCGGCATCCACTTTATTGCTTGATGGTCGCCTTAATATGCACGTATGTGCAAGTCATTGCACGAACAAGCCAAGATGGCAGTGGGTCATGCACTCTGTGGAACAGTGGTGGATTAATTTTCCACACACCCACTGCAGCTTACCAGCAGCAATCTTTCCGAAGGATGGTGACCGTCAACATTCACACAAAGCGGTACCCATTTTTATCAAAACCTGACGTGCGACTGGTTAAGTTGACCTCCGATTTGTGCTCCGATGACAGTGCCAACCACCCGGGCGGCCGGCCTGCCTGCCATGTAAGATGGAACCCTCGTGAAGAGAGAGTGAGCCCAGTATTGGTCGTGGTACCGGGGGTTATATTTATTCATGATGGGTCTATGTTTAACCGCAGTGCCCCGATTTCCACATCCATCTTGAGAAGGCTGCAACACACGCGTGGTTTTTTTTTGCACGGCCGTATATATTCCCCTAAATACACATCTTTACAATGGGATGTTAATAACACTAAATAATCTGCTTTTGCTCATCAGCTAACAGAAAACTGTTCAAATATCAAGTGTCCAAATTTTGAAGAATTCAAAGGTACGCCATTGAAAAATACCATCCTGAGACGATATTTAATTTACCAGATATTCACTATTGAGCCAAAACGTATTTTTGCCAGGAAGGTCCTGGGAGTGTGTGTCCAGTTCCTAATGAGTGTATTTGGGACCAAACCGGAGTTCCCAGAGAAAACTTGCACACGAGGGGATAACGCTCCCAACAGCCCACACACAGATGAGTTTTGGAACTACAACGCTGTCCTCATGAACCTCGTAAGCCCAGCAGGTTTGGGAAGGGTCACAAAAAGATGTTCCGCAAACCTTTGCACTCTGATCTACAGGCGTTCGGCATCACGCCCAACGCAATTAACCCGGCTGCCCTCTCAGGGCTCATGGACATCACCCTCACGGGGGCCCCCATAACATCCACCCACCACGGTGCCACACAGTACCTTGCTTGGAACACCAGGCCTCCAGTACCTGTCCAGACTACTACATCCACCCTTCTCGAGTCCACTATGATTATCCAGTCCCTCTCCTCCCTGGCTTCCCACCTCTCTGCCAGACATATGTGAAAAAGAGCTTCATAGCTCAACGGATTTATCCAAGACAAATACAGATTCTGAGGTTTCTCAGGCCCCAAGCCCCCTCTACAGTCCTCCGGGTCACCCCAGGGATTACAGTCCCTCACCGGTGCCCCCTTGATGTATCCGATCCCCTTAATCGCTCCCACGTTTCACCATTCGTGAAATTCCTCTCGTACCGCCCGGCTCCCATCTTCCCGATACGTACCACGGCCCCCCCCCCGCCCACCACGGCCCCCCCGCCCACCACGCCCCCCCACCCACCACGGGATCTCTCCGTGATCGTTCTCGCTCCTCATTCAATGCCAGGGACCCCCCCCTCTCGCCTGATCCCCCCACCCCCACAAATCTTGCATTGGTCATCTCCAGCCCGTGCGCCCCCCACCGCTCCATCTCCTCTGTTGCGCCCACTGCACCTCCTGGCTCCCCCACCACCCTTGCTACCACCCACCCACCCACCCTGCTCCCCCTCCTCACAGAGTCCCACCAACCCCACGGCTCCTCTCACCTTACCCCTCTCATCTGTTAAATCTCCCCTCGTCCTTCACTCGATCCCCTCGTAGACCCTCGCGAACCCCTTTGACTGTACCTCACTTCAAAGGTTCGTGGCGTTCGCCATCCCCATCAATTTGTCTTCACCTCGCCTCCCCCATGGACCCCCCCCCCTAACGTCACCCTTCGCCGTCTCTCATCCACCCCACAAATCTCCTTCGATCCCCTCGTCCCCTTTCACTCTCTCCTCGATCCCCCGATTTACCCCCCTGCTGCTCACATCCCCCGAATCCTTTATACACGCTTTGCTTACAGTCCCTGGCTCTCTGCCTTTGCTGCACCCATCCCCCTTGATCCCCTCGTCCCTCCCTCATCCCCTGTCCGCGATCCCCTTGATCCCCTCGTCTCTCCCTCATCCCCTGTCCGCGATCCCCTTGATCCCCTCGTCCCTCCCTCATCCCCTGTCCGCGATCCCCTTGATCCCCTCATCCCCTGTCCGCGATTCCCTTGATCCCCTCGTCCCTCCCTCATCCCCTGTCCGCGATCCCCTTGATCCCCTCGTCCCTCCCTCATCCCCTGTCCGCGATCCCCTTGATCCCCTCGCCTCTCCCTCATCCCCCTTTCGTTACTTCTAACCCCCCGCCCGCCCATCGCTCGTCCCGACCTCCCACAACGCCAACATCCATCCCCTCGATAGCCCCCAACGCAACATTCCCCTCAGACCCGCATCGTCCTCGGCTCTCCCTTCGCACCTCGTCCCTCCTCTTCACCCCCTCGTCTCTCCTTCAATGGATCCCCTTCAAGCCCCCCCCCCCCTCCTCCTCCTCCCATGTCCAATCGATTCCACATCGCACCCCCTCGATCCCCTCCCTCAGTCTCACCACCCCCTCGATCCCCTCAGTCTCACCACCCCCTCGATCCCCTCCCTCAGTCTCACCACCCCCTCGATCCCCTCAGTCTCACCACCACCCCCTCGATCCCCTCAGTCTCACCACCCCCTCGATCCCCTCCCTCAGTCTCACCACCCCCTCGATCCCCTCAGTCTCACCACCCCCTCGATCCCCTCCTTTAGTCTCACCACCACCCCCCTCACCCCCTCGATCCCCTCCCTCAGTCTCACCACCCCCTCGATCCCCTCAGTATCACCACCCCCTCACACCCCCCTCGATCCCCTCAGTCTCACCACCACCCCCCCCTCACCCCCTCGATCCCCTCAGTCTCACCACCCCCCTCGATCCCCTCAGGCTCACCACCCCCTCACACCCCCCTCGATCCCCTCAGTCTCACCACCCCCTCACACCCCCCTCGATCCCCTCAGTCTCACCACCCCCTCGATCCCCTCAGTCTCACCACCCCCTCGATCCCCTCAGTCTCACCACCCCCTCACACCCCCCTCGATCCCCTCAGTCTCACCACCCCCTCGATCCCCTCAGTCTCACCACCCCCCCTCACCCCTCGATCCCCTCAGTCTCACCACCACCCCCTTGATCCCCTCCCTCAGTCTCACCACCCCCTCACACCCCCCTCGATCCCCTCAGTCTCACCACCCCCTCACCCCCTCGATCCCCTCCCTCAGTCTCACCACCCCCCTCACACCCCCCCCTCGATCTCCTCCATTCACTGCCCACTGGACCCCCCCCACCCCCCGATTGTGCCGCGATCCCCTCACGGTCCCCTTCATCGCTGCACCCCTCCACCACGACCCCCTCGCTAGACCCCCGTCGTCTCCCCTTCACTCTTCTCTCTCCACTCGCCTCCCGCGACCCCCTCACACCCTTGGACCCCCTTCCCACAGACGCCCCCCCCTGCTCCCCCGTCGCAGTCACTTCCCCCTCGACCCCCTCGCCCCCCTTCACCCTCCACTCGTCCTCAGTCTCCCCTCTACCCCCTCGATCCCCTCTCCCCCCCCCCGTGGAGTCTCACCGCCTTCATGGCCGCCGCCATGTCGTCGTAGCGCTCCGCCTGCTCGGCCAGGCGCGCCCTCTGCACCAGCTGCTCGCGCTCCGCCATCTCAGCCGCGCCCGCGCTTCAACGCTGCCGCCGCTGCTGCTGCCGCCGCTGCTGCTGCCGCTGCTGCCGCTGCCGCCGCTGCTGCTGCTGCCGATGCACTGGCTCAGCTGCTGCCTGCTGCTGCTCGTGAGGCTGTGGAGCTTCGTGCTGCTGCTGCTGCTGCGTCGTCGTCTTCGTCGTCTCTGCTGCTGCTGCTGCGGCTGTGAGCGCCGCCGCGGTCACGTCTCTCGCCTTGCCGCACTGCGCATGCGCGGAGCCCCCCCCCCCTGCCCCGCCCTCCCCCCCACGTCCACCCCCGCCCCCGCGTCGCGGAACCTTCGAGAGAGGAGGCGGAGGAGACGCAGCGAGGCTCGAGCCAGACCCGAGGTGTTCCCTGTGTGTGTGTTCACTATGTGTTTGTGTTCTGTGTGGTCTGTGTGTTTGTGTTCTGTGTGTTATCTCTGTGTGTTCCCTGTGTGTTGTCTCTCTGTGTGTTCTCTCTGTGTTTGTGTTGTGTGTTCCCTGTGTGTGTGTTCTCTCTCTGTGTTCTCTGTGTTGTCTCTGTGTGTGTGTGTTCTGTGTGTTCTCTCTGTGTGTTCCCTGTGTGTTGTCTCTCTGTGTGTTGTCTCTCTGTGTGTTCCCTGTGTGTTCTCTGTGTGTTCTCCGTGTGTGTGTTCTGTGTGTGTTTTCTCTGTGTGTTCTGTGTGTTCTCTCTCTCTGTGTTCTGTCTTCCCTGCGTGTTCTCTGTGTGTGTGTTCTGTGTGTTTTCTCTGTGTGTTCTCTCTGTGTGTTGTGTGTGTTTTCTCTGTGTTCTCTCTCTGAGTGTTCTCTCTCTCTGTGTGTTCTCTCTCTCTCTCTGTGTGTTCTCTGTGTGTCTACAGTGCGACATTCACTGCTGCGTACAATATTAGCATCCCGAACGTCCTCCGGACGTAACCGTCCGTCCAGTCCGGTCCTTCCCTCGAGCAAGCCAGCACATCCCCCCCACCCTCATATACCAGCCCACGCGCTCTTTGGCCGTAACCGCCCGTCCCTCCAGCCAGCAAAACTTTTTGGGGACATTGCACGAGGCGAGGCGAGGCGCGCAGGTGGCGAATCCCGAGGCGTTTGCACGGAGATACACGGCGAAGGGTTGAGGCTGGGGGTGACGTCATCCCGCACTAACCTGGGTGACGTCATCGCGCAGACCTGCGCCAGGCAGACATCCAGCCAGGCAGACAGACATACATCCAGCCAGGCAGGCAGACATTCAGCCAGGCAGGCAGACATACAGCCAGGCAGACAGACATCCAGACAGACATCCAGCCAGGCAGACAGACATCCAGACAGACAGACATCCAGTCAGACAGACAGACATCCAGTCAGTCAGGTAGACATCCAGACAGGCAAACAACCAGCCAGACAGACATCCAGCCAGGCAGACAGACATCCAGACAGACAGACATCCAGCCAGGCAGACAGGCATCCAACCAGGCAGACAGGCATCCACCCAGGCAGGCAGACATCCAGGCAGACAGACATCCAGCCAGGCAGACAGACATCCAGACAGACAGACATCCAGCCAGGCAGACAGGCATCAAGCCAGGCAGACAGATATCCAGTCAGACAGACAGACATCCAGGCAGGCAGACAGACATCCAGCCAGGCAGACAGGCATCAAGCCAGGCAGACAGATATCCAGCCAGGCAGACAGACATCCAGGCAGGCAGACATCCAGACAGACATCCGGACAGGCAGGCAGACATCCAGCCAGGCAGACAGGCATCCAGCCAGGCAGACAGACATCCAGCCAGACAGACAGACATCCAGCCAGGCAGACAGGCATCCGGCCAGGCAGACAGACATCCAACCAGGCAGGTAGACATCCAGCCAGGCAGACAGACATCCAGCCAGGCAGACAGGCATCCAGCCAGGCAGACAGACATCCAGTCAGACAGACAGACATCCAGTCAGTCAAGTAGACATCCAGACAGGCACACAACCAGCCAGACATCCAGCCAGGCAGACAGACATCCAGCCAGGCAGGCAGACATCCAGCCAGGCAGACAGACATCCAGCCAGGCAGACAGACATCCAGGCAGACAGCCAGTCAGGCAGACAGACAGCCAGCCAGGTAGCCACACATCCAGTCAGACATCCAGGCAGACATCCAGCCAGCCAGGCTTGCAGGTAGACCTGTCCATGAAAATCCTATGTTATTGCACCCTAGAGTACTGTGTTCCTAAAATCCTATGAGCAGTTTTATAAGCATCGTGCCAAACCAATTCACAGAAACAGCGTTTTGGATTGACCCACCACATCCAGTGTTTAAAAACATTGTTTTTATTTTACCAGGTAAGGCCCCACTGAGCTGCGTAGCTTTTTCCCAGAAGCCACCTGGCCACCACAACGAAGTGGCGGCTTTTCACGGGTGGTGGGTAAGTAATTCAGAAACTTATCCGTGTCAGGTAGGCAGTGCTCACTGTGAAATGAATATGGAGGATATTTCAGAATCAAAATATTTATAGTGGAGGAGGAATCTAATGAGTTATAAAGCTCTTTTGTCACAGATGTCCAGAAGGGGCTCGTGGGTAAGAACGTTACAATAACAGTTACAAAAAATACGATAGGAGTTTAAAGCACAAGAAACAAACACAACCCTAAACCATCCCCATCCTGCGAGACAAAGCCCACTGAAATATTCACTGATTCTTCAAAAACGACCTGGCTATCGCAAATGTTGGCTTAACAAAGTGGCTCTCATCATTTGGACATCCATGGCAAGTGAGATAATGCCTGAGGGTCGTGGGGGTGAAAGTTTGAATCAACAACAGCAACAAAAATCCCCATCACTTTTTAGTTGTTGATATATTTTATCCCCTACCGCTCTCCGACGACGAATCGAGTGTTGTCGCGGCGCGGAGTCCCCTCCGTTCCACCCCCCACCCGGCTCTTCGCTCGCATGACGGTGCCGTGTCAACGATTACCGTGGGTGTCGCTGCCTCTGCACGGAGCGTGCGGCTCCTGCGTTGTCGTCTTGGTCTCGAGCCGCCACGTGCGCGGCGCGCAGCGGAGAGTCGTGGACACGAAACTCAAATCGCTCCGTGTCCCATAACCCAGTGGGGGGCAGAGTTTCCGGCTCGCACTCGTCAGCCTTCGTCGAGCGCAGATATGGGAACGAATGGAAACTAAAAACAGGAAGATGTTCAACCTCGTGGAGAAAAAAAACCGGTGCCAAATACGGAAGTTTAACCCACCTAAACCTGTCTCCCCGATTATAAAATGAATACATAAAATGTGGGTTTAGTCCATCAGCCTATTGGCTTTCCAATGTCACTTGCCTTCAACAAGCAAACTCCGGACTGGTTTTGAACGTATGGGGCTCATCAGCTTCGGGTGTTTATTTAATAATTGCTAATAACAATAATAATTTACATTCGTAAGCCGCATTTCACCCAAGGATCCCAATGCCCCGCCGTGTATGGAAAGTGGGGAAAAAAAAACAGAGCCAGCGGCGGGGACGACCACAACTCTGGGGGGAAGGACATTTTCAAGAGGTGAGTTTTCAGGGCAACATTTAAATAGCTCAAAACATTTTGTTTGTCCTGTTATCTAGAGGCCAGCAGCGTTCCATAGCCTTGGAGCTGCACTGGCCAAAGCCCCATCACCCACAGCATCGGAGCTTTGGCCTCAGAATACGAAGGAGGAGTTTGACAGCACCAACAACGGCAACATCACGGCACCTTTTGACCAGTTACAAAGCAGGAAGAGAGATGGCTGTCTCTGGTGTAGGCCAATCAGTTTCAAAGACAATGCGTCGATTACCAGAGCATGTTTTGTTTGCATGTTCACCACAAGTACTGCGTGTGTGGTTGATGCAGTAACTTGATTCCTTGCTAAAGGTTTCTTCTACTTGGTGTTTGAACATCTTAAACACAACTGTTGTTGTATTGCCAGAAAGGGTAAAGCCTAATTATTGTTTTCCAACAGCAACGTGGACACCATTGCACGTGCAGAAGCACTCGGCTTTATCCAGACCACTGGCTCAACAGAACTGAATGTGTGCCTGCCCATTTCGATGCTTATATCTGCCGACGGTTGCTTATTTTGTATTTTTGCTACTTGTGAAGGAACGATGTGGAACCCGGATCTGGCGTGGGTCGTGGGGTCGTGCGGATTCCATTCGAGTCGCGTGCTCAGCTGGAATGGTGTGGCTTAAGTGCTTCAGTATTTGCTGTTATAGTGTGTTATAGGATATATTTATGGTATTAAAAGCATTAAAAGTGTTGTTAAAGGACGGTTCTTTTTGTATGGGGTTCACAGGGAAACCAGTAGCACCACACGTGATCACAAGATCTCTCATCCCATTCACAAGGAAACCAGTAGCACCACGCGTGATCACAAGATCTCTCCATCCCATTCACAGGGAAACCAGTAGACCCACAGGTGTTCACAAGATCTCTCATCCCATTCACAAGGAAACCAGTAGCACCACACGTGTTCACAAGATCTCTCATCCCATTCACAAGGAAACCAGTAGCACCACACGTGACCACAAGATCTCTCCATCCCATTCACAGGGAAACCAGTAGACCCACAGGTGTTCACAAGATCTCTCATCCCATTCACAAGGAAACCAGTAGCACCACGCGTGTTCACAAGATCTCTCATCCCATTCACAAGGAAACCAGTAGCACCACACGTGATCACAAGATCTCCATCCCATTCACAAGGAAACCAGTAGCACCACGCGTGATCACAAGATCTCTCCATCCCATTCACAAGGAAACCAGTAGCACCACGCGTGATCACAAGCTCTCTCCATCCCATTCACAAGGAAACCAGTAGCACCACACGTGATCACAAGATCTCTCCATCCCATTCACAAGGAAACCAGTAGCACCACGCGTGATCACAAGATCTCTCCATCCTATTCACAAGGAAACCAGTAGCACCACGCGTGATCACAAGCTCTCTCCATCCCATTCACAAGGAAACCAGTAGCACCACACGTGTTCACAAGATCTCTCCATCCCATTCACAAGGAAACCAGTAGCACCACACGTGATCACAAGCACTCTCATCCCATTCACAGGGAAATCAGTAG